CAACTATGAATTTGAAAATTGATTTTAAGATAATATTACTAGAATATAAGATTTAAAATAAACTCACTTAAAAATAAAACATTCGCTTAGGATCAAGACCCAAAGCAGGCTCATCATCACTTTGATTGTCTTCAGAAGAATCTTCATAATTAATGTCAAAGTCATCCTCAAACTCTTCTTCATCTATAATATTTTTCCTTTATCTCCTATATCAATTAATATTTCATTAGCTTTAAAATGAAACAATAGTAACATACAAAATAATTCATTATATTTAAGAATACCTATGAATTTTTTTGAAGCTCCAATCTCACTTTGTTTCTTTCTTTTATATACATGGGTAGTTGCTTCATTGTCTTCTTCATTGACATGAGTTTCTTCTTCTGCTTCAACTTCAGAAACATCAGCATTCTTAGGAGTAACCTATTCATCATCAGATTGTAACTCATCAATAAACAAAGGGTCAATTTTATTCTCAATATTTCCTTGATTCTGCAATTTGAGATGTCCATCTTTCAGTTTTTTGTTAAACATAACATAAACTAGTTTGTTCATTCGATCTGCCTCCAATCGATTTCTTCTCTTTATATGAATTTGATTAAAGTTACTCCAATTACGCTCGCATGCAGAAGCCGAACACGTTAGGCTAAGAACTTTAAGTGCAAAAGCTTTCAATTCAGGAACATCATCTCCAAACTGAGCCCAACAATGTTCTACATGAAGACAAACATAGTATTTTATGAATATTGGTTGAAGTAGAAGACTTAAACATAAATATTAATATTAAAATTATAAATACACAAACTATAAACATATCAGGAGATCGTGTTTTGTAGCATGCTTGTGCTGCTCTAAATCCAAACATTCCCTTCTTTAAATGAAAATTCTCAAGTTGATCATTCACTTTGAGGTAGTTTTTTTTCAGAAATGAGTTTGTTCATACATGTATACAAACCAGTTTTCACCTCTTTGTCAAAATGAAAATCCTTATCATAATGAAATTTGGGGTTTAAATAGTATGCAGTAGCATGTAAGTGTTGGTGTAATTGTCGATCCCACATTTCATCTATAATATCACATATTTCTTTATAGGCATTTTCTTGACCTCTCAATTCTTTTGCAATGTCTTCTTTAGCCCTATTCATTGCTTCATAAATAAATCTCATAGCCGGGGCCCTCTCACCATCAACCATTCTAAGCACCTTTGCTAATGGTCCTGTAGTCTTCAAAGCATAATTTGTACTGCGCCAAAATGAATCGTCTTTCATAACAATCTTTTTAACTTGTTTTCCTTCTTGTTTTTTGGCCCATGAACATTTATCTCTCTTCAGAAGAAAACATTGCTTTCAAAGGTTGTCTTAACTCCATGAATCTCTGCAATGTTAAATATGCAGTAGCAAATCTTGTAACAGCAGGTCTAATAATTTTCTTATCAGTGAATTTTCTCATCAAGCTGAGTACCCAAGAATGATTGTATATAAACTTACTAACGTATTTGGCCTTCAAGATTACTGATTTATGTTGAGGCAACTGTCCCAACCTCTCAAGCATCAAGTTAATACAATGTGCAGCACAAAGAGTCCGGTAAAGGTGAGGCCTCTTCTCCATTAACATTCTCCCTACAGCTTTGTATGCACTTGCATTATCAGTAACAACCTGTACTACTAAGACATCTCCCACTTCCTCCACAACTTCATCCAACATTTTAAACAATAATTGTGCATCATTTACAAAGCTTGAAGCATCTACTGATTTGAGAAAAACTGTTCCATATGGATTGTTGACCAAGAAATTAATGATACTTCTGTGTCGAATATCTGACCAACCATCTAACATTATTGTCACTCCTGTCTCAATACAAGTCTTCTTAATATCATCCACCATTTTTGAAGTTGTCTTAACCTCCTCATTCAGCATCCAAGTCAGCAGCTCATACATGCTTGGAAGTTGTAGTCCTCTTCCATAGCTTCCAACGAATTGTAACATATTGATCCATGACGGACTCCTAACAACATTAAATGGAATCCCATTTTTATAGATGAATCTGGCGATATCCAAACAAACTCTGTTCCTGAGTTTTTTGTAGCTGTAGGAGGCTAAATATCTTGAATATTTATGTTATCCTCGTCATTAATATTTATCATAAATCTATCCATAGGACCCCGAGTGCCTCAATTAGAAGAAACTAGATGGCTTTCACTACTGGAACCTTCGTACTATGATCCATAATAAGAAGAGTTTCCTATCATCTCTTCAATATTTCTTTGTGTGACCTCCTTTGTGGTGGCAAATTTCATTAAATAATCTATACATTCCTTTTTCACCTCATCAGATACTTTTGCACATGGTCCCACATTAACATGAGTGCAGGCTAAATGATCCTTCAACCTCTTGACGCCACCAGTTTTGCATTTCTCACAGAAATTACATTTCATATAAACATATCCCTTCTTTGCACCTTCGCCTAACTCTTCAACTTGAGTTCCATATTTCCATGCAGGATCTTTCCTTCTTGTGCCACTAGTCATGCTAATAATTTATAA